ACATTCAAGGAAATGTTAGCTAACTGGCTAATCACCTAATTGACTAACGTACAAGTAAAGAAGTTCGTGGGAAAGTTTTCATGCTACATTCTGGAACAAAAAACTACAAAATCTAATTTTGTATTACGTGTTTGGTTAAAGTGTCAACCAGTCTTCTAATATTTAGTTATTTCTCTTGTGTATTATGTGTTCACGTGAATAAAGTTCAATCTTTTCATCGTTATTCTCTGTGAATAATCAACTCACCTGAAACACTGAGTCCTGTTCAGGTCTGTTCTTCAGACCTGCTTTTACTCTGAAAATAAACATTAGTCCACATCCGGTCGCGCCGCCTCTCTCGATCAGCTGATCACAGTGAATTTGAAAAAGCTGCGAGTTTCCATCAGACGCTGAAAACGACCAATGGGAGCCAGAGTTTCAGTGACGTGAGGAGATAAAGTCAACTTTACTTGACTTTACTGTTTAAATCAGAAGTTTTCAACCTTTTAAAACTTCTTTACTTTTGCTCGGTTGACTTTGCCTTGGATCCACAGCTGCTGCAGGACTTTTAGGTGAAACAGGTATCTAAAAATGTTCTGCTGTTCCAACATTTGATTTGAAATGTCTTCCCTCTGTGTTTTTGTTATATTAAAATCTTTAACGCTAATATAGATGGATTGATTTTGTACTGTGAAGATACAGATAATAAAGGCCATGCACATCATATGTGAAAAAGCTTTTTATGAAGATGTGTCTGAAGAAGTGAGATAAATCAGGTCATGTTGTCTGCTCGTCTAATCTCTTCTGGCAGATTGTTTCTGTCTCTTTTCGTTTTCAACCTAAACTTTAGAACCGACCACGTCCTTCCAGAGGATCTCAGGCTGTGTTCTGGCTCCCAGGGAGATAATCATGACCCACATGTACTTTTATATTTAATTCATGTTAATGAAACTAAATTAAACTATGGCTGCAGGTCACATTGACCTGGATCTCTCCTCAGATTGGAAGTTAAAGGTTAGTGACCTGTATTATTTGGCTCATTGTGATGTTTTATTGCTGCACTTTGAAATGATAAATATACAAAACAGGGTCTGAATATTCTTCATATTGTACTAAAATAGTACTTTTGATACTTTTGAATGGGGTTTATTCATACATGAGAAACATACAGGTAGCACACACACACACACACGTGCATAAACACAACTCTTGACATGTTTAGTCTTGCACTGCCTCCAGGCGGTGGAGAACTGCTATGACATCCTGCAGGAGTTCAGCGTGGACCCAAACACTGACTGTTTGTGAGGTTATAAAATAAAGTGTAATGAAGTTGCATCACTTGTGTTTGTGTGTTTTTTTTTAAACTTTTCTCTGGAAGTTAATAAAGCTTCACGTTTACTGTTTGTCTCTCTTGACATTTGGTTGAGCTTCTTACCAGAGGCCTGAAACTTCATTCAAACTCAGCTCCCAAGATTTGATATTTAGGTCTTGGTCAGTGTTATTAATGTCCTGTACATGTTTTGAATCATTACAGTCAAAGTTTTATACCTTTTGAGAGTTTTGGATTTGACAAGCAGAAATGTTCATGAAATTAAAAACGTGGTTAAAGGCTCCATCACCTCATCAATACAACTTAAAGTTTTTGTTCAACTGTTGTCTGCTCTGGTTCAGTTTCTGTCATAAGGCTGATGATGTATAATTTGCATTCCTGGAGAACTTCCTCTCGCAGACCACATCTGGCAGCAGCTGCCTCTGCAGCTCCTGGTCTCTCCAAAGTTTCTTTTTAATAACCAGCTCATAAAACCCACTTGATTCCGACATCTACCTCTCGCCGGGCAGTTTGAACTCTTTCCACGCCATCAAACGTGATTCGTTTCACTTCGTAACCACCGGCGCTGCGATCCCTCCTCAGACTTTTCCAAATAAAGCGGCTCCAGCTGTGCGCGGCTCTGCGCCCTCAGTGCGTCACTCTGCTCCACACAGGCAGCAGCCATCAGGAGGAGGAGGAAGGAGAAGGAGAAGGAAAGATGTCCGGCGTCATGCTGCTGCTGTCGGTGTGCGTGAGTCTGTGTGCGCTTCGGGGGACCGGCGGCTCAGCGCGGAGCGACGCGGTGATCCTGCGGGACGCGCTGGAGCGAGGCCCGGTCAGCCTGAACGACATGTTCCGAGAGGTGGAGGAGCTGATGGAGGACACCCAGCACATACTGGAGGAGGCAGTGGATCAGGTCTGCGTCACGTTTTATTACAATTCCACAAAGGCAGTGTTGTGTAGTCTATGGAGAGAGTGACACAAAGCTGCCATCCTGTGATTTATCAAGTGTTTAATATCATAAAACTTAGGTCTGAACCAAACTCAAGGTGAGTTTAATTGTTTTTGAGCTCAGTTTAATTTTGACCACCAGGCTTAGTTACATCATTACACAAACTTTCCACGTCTGCTTCATGTCTGGGCCACATCAAGTCTGAATGCTGTTAATAGTCCTCCTCGTAATTATCAGATAAAGTGGCTGAAACAGATATTTTCACTATAAATTCAATCAAAGAGAAGTTACTTAACTGTAGAGTGGCTGATGATGATGCACAACTAAGATTGCCAACCAAGTCTGGAAGAATATTCCTGAATTTACTTGGAGTGGAGGCTGTTTTGTCTTTTATCTCCATTTCTATTATTAGCATTGTTATATTTGTACTTCCGTTGTGTTTTACCCGTTTGTTCTCTGTCGTCTAGCACTTTGTGTTGAAAAGTGCTCTATAAATAAGGTTATTATTATTAACATCATCCGTCTGATTATGTTAAATCTACTGTTATTTTTCCCGTGTTACTGTATTTCACCGCGTCTCATCATCATCATGTCTCACTCAGTGTCTGGTTTTAATCATCTGTGAACTACTGGGAGGTTTTCCCTTCATGTCGTCCAAGTAACTGAGAATAATCATAACAATCAGTCAGAGCTGCTGCCGAGTGTAAACACTGTCCACAGTTACAGCTGAATGTCCTGATGTGTAGTGATTACAGATTAATGGATGCATCCTCACATTCAATCCTACAGATAACTACTGAGAGTGCCAAATCCTCCCTAACGTCACCAGACCTGCGTTTCATCCTCCACAACGAGACTCAGAAGATTGTTGGAAACAGAGTCGCTCAGGTCCTGGATCGGACGGACAAGGTAGGGGTTGGAAATTACAAGAGTGAATTTAGGTTTTTATGTGATTTTGAGGATATTTTTTCTTTGACGGGAACAAAACACAGTAATCGTCGGTTTCTTACTGTTTACAGAAAACTAACAATAAAACAGGAGAGACTCGTCTTTCACACGTGCATGTGGAGTTGTCTGGTCCATGGAATAGTAAAGATCACGTGAGTCTTTTGGAATCGAACTAAAGCAGATTTGTTGCATAACAAACGTTCTGCTGTGCGTCTCGTCCGCACGCAAACAGAGTTTTAAGCCATTCAAACTGAAGGGATGGGAAAATATCCATTCTAAAGAATATTGACGATACAGCATGAAACACGTTGAGTCCAGTGGATAGTCTGTTAACTCAGGACGCCCTCTGAGCGGCTGCTTAGGGCCCTGCAGCCACCAGGGGGCCCCCAAAATCTTGCACCATTTGCTGATGTAATGCATGACTCTCTTGTATGACAGCATGATGAACGAGGCAGCGCCCCCTTCCGTCAGTGAGGGAACAGTTTGTGAGTTAAAAACAAACAAACCCAGAGGGCGACAAAAAGATAAGACAGCAGAAAGATAGAAGAAGGTTAATGCAGCACAGATGCTCTCTCTGCCCCGTCCAGCTCTCCTTCTGTAACGGTCGGTCTCCATTCGTCCCCTTCATTTCTTTAAGCAGTGTATATGCAGTCTATGAAAACAACAAGGAACAAATATATTGTTAAAAACAAACAGTAATATTAAGTAATAATTCATTGAGATGATTAAGATAATACTTTAAACTGATAGACTCCAAATGAATAAGAGAATATATGCTTCTCTTGGTCTCTAGTCAAGTCTCTATTTACATGTCCTGTGTTTGGTTTTCATGCAGGAACAAAAAAAATCCAACTGTACCAGTTTCCGACCGTATGTTTCTCTTTTCACGGTCGGGATGTAAACTGTGACGGCTGCTTTTTGGAAAAACAAACAAAGACCTTGACTCCTCGGCGAGCTGTAGGACATTCCACTCAGCATCAGTCATGAGGTCTTTCTAATTAAAACAGAAATCAGCTCATTCAAGGCACACTGAACGTTTCTCCTCAGTTTTATAGAAGCGTCTGTGAAAAGAGAAACGAAGGACTTTGTGAAACTGCAACGTCTCAACTGATTTTTATCAAGAACAGGATCATCATGGAAACAGAAACCTACCGTGTACTTTTCATAGTTTCAGCCACAGTTTGGATTGAGGTCATTAATGCTGCTCGCTGCCTGTTTGTGCCATTTTATTTTACAATGTTGGTTCTGATCTTTTGCTTTCCTGGCAGCCGCACAGAAAGTGGTTAATGGAGCTTCCTGCTTGGAAAGAAAACAGTCTGTGAGTCAGACAGGATCTGCTCCTCTTAAATGACTAAGTGAAAAGAAATGTCAGCCTCTATGTGGAGACACACTTGAATCACACTTGTGGAAGTCAAAGGAAAGTTGATTGACAGCACTTTACTGATAAAAGACCTTTTTCTGCTGAATGTAGCCTCAGGCTGGTGAGTGAAAATATCTTTTATAGATCATCTAAACATTAATGTGCAGCGTGTTTGATTTTTATCCGTGCAAAACAACTGCGTCTGTTTTTCATATTATTATTAAAAGGTTAAGTTTGTTTTACAGCTAATTTAGATGTCACACTTATTTAAAACCTCACACGGGGTCTCTTGCTCAGTGAGTCGTCTGAATGTTACTTTCTTTCTCCTTTTGCTGCAAAGTAAATTGTGGAAAAATATTTTTATAGAAGGGTATAATTTACTACTGGGCCGATGAGAGTAATAATAGGTGTAGTCATCTGGCCTTTATTAAGATAATGGCAGGGTTGTAAGTCATGTGGCTCCTATTTGTTTCCAGTATCTCTGAAACCTCAATAATTCAATTCAATTCAATTTTATTTGTATAGCACCCAATTATAATATACATTATCTCTTGGTACTTTACATAAATATTACATAATATATATATTAAAATTGAGCACTTTGGTGAGATGGTGGAGAGAGAAAACCTCCGTCATTAACAGGGTGAAACTTCTGGCAATAACAGCTTCATTCATGTCAACACCACAGTGGAAAGAAACTCGTCCTACACATGTTTCCCATGTAATCTCCAGACGGAAGGTGAAATGTGAAATGAAATGTCTCAGGTAGGAAAGAGAGCGTTCGCAGGGTGGAGGGAGTTCACCTCTTGGTTTGTGAGCTGCTGTTTTATTTCAGTGTTTATTACCCAGATCCAAAAAACACGAAGAAAATGTTTCATTACAAAACATTAAAAGGGCTGGTGCTGTTTTTTATTTGAATCTCTGTTATCAACACTGATGTCTCCACACAGGAATGCATGGTGGATGAGGACTGTGGCGACCTGAGATACTGTCTGTACGAGATGGAGAAGTCCAGCTGCCTCCCCTGCATACCAACAGATATGGTGCGGATTCACCAGGGTTTTTTTTTGTGGTTGTTATTTGTTCAGTTAAAGGTTCAGTGTGTAGAATTTTGTGATCTCTAGTGTTGAAATTGCATGTTGCAGCTGAACACCCCTCACATCACCCTCTCCTTCCAAACATGAAAAAGAACCTGTGGTAGACTTTAGTTCTCATAAAAACTCAAAAGGTGTTTAGTTTAAAACATGGCGGCTTCCGTAGAGAGGGTCCCTTCGATGTAAATAAAAAGTATTTGACCTTTTCTGGGGTCAAGAAAATTACAATGAATACAATTAAATGAAACAAACTAGTGAAAAAATCATGAGGATTATTCTACATTCAATTTCTGCCAATTGTTCCTTTTCACCTAAATCTTACTCACTGGACCTTTAAAGCTGCACCGATCAGTATTTTTAGTTTCAGTCCTACTTTCAGTAACAGGTTTGTGTTTATTGTCATCTCTGCATGTTTGAACGGCGTACATACAGCGAAATTAAATGTGTGTGTGTGTGTGTGTGCCTGCTCAGCCGTGCACTAAGAATGAGGAGTGTTGCTCGGACCAGCTGTGTGTGTGGGGCCAGTGCACGGTCAACGCCACCAGAGGAACAGAGGGAACGATCTGTCAGGGTCAGAGCGACTGCAGGGCGGACCTCTGCTGTGCCTTTCAACGAGGTGAGCTCTGACGTCCCCAGAGACCGAGAGACGAGAGACGGACTCATTCTCAGTTAATGTCAAACTCCACTTAATAGTGGAGCTCAGGTGTGAGCTCAAACATAATTACAGTGAATGTTATCTGAATCATGTAAATTTCTTATAGAGCTCAAGTCAAATCAACCACTGTGCCATATAATATTTCAGCTTTGCTAATTTTTACTAGATCGCTTTTCATTTCTGTCTTTTTGCTTCAGTTAGGCTCAGTTCACTTGGTTTCTTCTGTTGTTTGACTTTGTGTGAAATCAGGGTCCATCAACCAATTTACATAACACCCCCACAACAAGTAGCATGTATTCTCTTTACTGACATCTAGTGGTTTTTAGTCGGGAACAACAAAAAGGTACATTGAAATATTGAAATTACACAGACAGATTGCTCAACAAACAGTTGAATGCAACAAGTCAGAAATGAATTAAACAGCTGCAGGACAAAGTGAAAGGTCAGAATCCAGAGATGTAACGTAGCCTGGACACATCCACGGTACCGAGTGATGAATATTAGCTGCGACACAGAATAATGGCTGTCATGAGTGAGTTTTTTGCCGTTCTTTACCTTTGTGTGTGCTGCTTCCTCCAGAGCTGCTGTTTCCAGTGTGTAACCCCAAACCAGACAAGGGGGAGTCCTGCCTGAACTACCCCAACCTGCTGATGGATATGCTGGCCTGGGACGAGGAGGTGCCCCGCGACCACTGCCCCTGTGCCGACCACCTCCAGTGCCAACCTCATGGGTGAGAGCAGACACAGAGGAATACACGTGCAGTCAAACATGTATTTGTTCTAATCTTCTTCCTTAAATTCCCCTTTTTCTCTCTTACAGACGTGGATCTGTGTGTGGGGAGTAGAGCTGGAGGATGAATCACACGAGGGACTGATATTAAATCACGAAACCCTGATGTTACACTCACATCCTCACGGATCATTCACCAGAGGAAACTCCACCTGCTGATCATGTCAACGTACAGGATGTTGCTTCAGGGCAGAACTTGCACTGTTTTATTTATACCTTACTTACAATCTGTATTGTTAATTTTTAAGAAAATAAAAGACAAAGTGTGGATTTCACCAATTCAGTATGATGACTTTATGAGTGAATGATAAGAACTACAGCAGTACACAGCACTGTCAGCTAGAGGGCAGACTTCCAACTGTTTCCCGTGTGTGTCAGGAAGTGATAACACAAACACACACACACACACACATTTGATCTGTACAAAGATGGACAACATGACAGCTCACAAAAGTGAAGCCAAAGATGTTTTTGGAAACTGATGTTTGTTCAAGAGTTCCTGTTTCTGACAAGTTTGGTTGTTTTCTATAAAAACAGCGTGAGACGTCAGGATTGACAGCTGAGACTGACTCACAACTGGTCGAGTGTGTCTCTTGATCGCTGCTGCACAGACTCCATATGATGTCATTGGTACGAGATGGCAGCGTCCATATCTGGGAGATTTTGGTTTCGTTTGTGGAGAGTAGGAGGTGGAGACGCGTCGTCCATCTTTATTTACAGTCTGATGATGGAGACACATGAAGAAGATATTCAGGTTGAGGCTGATAGTCCCACGTGCTTCACATTAAGATTAAGATTCCTATTTTTGGTCCCACACACAGCATGCAACATGCAAACATGGGGAAATTTGACCTCTGTATTTAACCCATCCGTGTGAACGGAGAACACACGGAACACACGGAACACAGCGACCACACACGGAACAGTGGGCAGCCATGAAGGCAGTGCCCAGGAGCTGAACTAGCACCTCTCCAACTTCATACCCGACCTTTTCACTTTATTCTTGACACATCGACTTAATTCTCATCATTTCTTCTTCTGTTCGGTTTATTGGTACGTGGCAACCAGCGCCAAGGTGCGTTACCGCCATCCACTGGATCTCGTTCCTGACCGCGCCACATCGTTAAAGATTTCAGAAGCATCTTTTCATTACCACTTTGTACTCCACATTTCAAACTTTAATGCTTGACATTTTTTCTATTCTCTCGACTTCACGCCCTCGTACTTCACATTTCGACTTCATACCCGACCTTTTCACTTTGTTTTCAACCTTTTCACTTTGTTTTCGACATTTTTACTTTGTTTTTGACGTTTCGACTTTAGTCGACTGCGATCTCGTCATTTCGACGTTAATCTTATAATGCGACTGTATTATTGTCATTAGCGAACATGCTTTCTTCTGGGACTTGACGCCGTCCTCATGCTCTTCAGCAGATGTTTGCATCATTATCCATTCTCCAACTTCAAAGGGCGGGAGCCTCGCGGGCTCCTTGACTTCTGGACTCCCGCCCTTTTTTTTTTTTTAACTTAAAATAGTTTTCTTCTTCTATCACGTTTAAAAAAAAAACGAGTAGAAAACTGAGCGGAGTGAGACCTCCTGTCCCCCTCCTCTCTCTCTCTCCCTCTCTCTCTCTCTGGCCTGCTGACGTCATCGGGCTGCTCCGCTTCCTGCCGAGTCTCCAGCGGACGCACACACACACACTCACACACACACACACACACACTCTCATATACAGAAAAAACACACTCGCACGCAGGGAACACACACTCGGCGGACACACACAGTCTCCAGCAGCTCCAGAGGAGACGCGGACGTGTCGGGTACGTATCCTCCGTTCGCGCGGCCGCGGGTTTAGCGCGCTAACCGTCGCGGAGGAAGAGATGCGCCACACGGAGGGAGCCGCGCTGCGCACATTCACGGACGCGGTTACACCGTGAATCCATCTTTGCGTGGATTCTCTCCTCTGAGGGCCGGTCCGGGAGGAGACAGCTCCGGTTCTCTCAGACTCCTTCGCGCTCAGGGGTTTTTTTGGAAGTCGAGCCCAGGAAGCGAAGGTCTAATGAGAGGCAGCTGTTTGTGATGATCATCACGAGATCTGTGTTTTCTGCTCCTGCTTGGAGTCCGGTGTCACTCTGGTTTCCACTCTGGTTTCTACCGAGGAAATAAAGAGGAAACACTCACGAGGACACGTGGTGGTTTGTAGCCATTCTGTGATGATTTAAATTAAAAACCTTCCAAATGAAGGGCTCGACGTTGAATGTACTTTTGACGTATGATCCGGTTTACCTCTAAACTGGGCTTAGAAAGAAACTGCAAGATCTTGGCGCGGGATTTCATCAAGAGAGACCGATATTCTTTTGCCTCAACGCCAACCCGGGTTGATTCAAACCCTATTACAGAGTCGTTCGATACAGGAGTGAATGCCGATTGTGCCCATTTCCGTTGTAGACTAAATGTCAATGGGTGTTGGTGGAAAAGGTACTTTAACGTTCCGTTGCTGCAGCTCCTCTTTTCAGTCTCTGTCAGAAACACCTGGTTTTAGCTCCTGTCTCTTAAAGACTCCGATTGGTCAACTGCTTCCAGTGCATGTTGGAAACACGAGCCGCTGGGCCAAAGTGTGGAAGCATTGTCGAGACTTGCAGAATGTTTACGTTCGTGCGTCATCCTTTGAATGCTGAAGTACGATAGGAGTCGCTCATAAAGAAGAAACAGATATGCAATGACCCAGTCAAAACTCGGATTTGAATCCCATTGGAGTGTTGTAGGATGTGAAACGGGCAGTACATGCAAGAAAACCCTAAAACATCTTGCAACTGAAGGAATTTTGCTGAGTGGTCTAATATTTTAATATGCAAGTGTCAGACGATGGTGGAAAACTTGAAGTTATTTCTTCTGAGTTAGCAGCTCCTGAGAACAAGCATAGCATTTCCACATTTATTGATAATTTAGTTGAGTGAATAATTGAAATGACGTACACAGCGTGATATACCTTTTTAAAAGTCCGTCAGCCCTTTATTTATTTTAGTTATATATGATGTTTTGTATCGCAGTAATGTGCTGACAGCTTGTGGGTGTGATATGGAAACAACGCCATCATTGGGTTTGATAGTCTAAGAAAATAAAGAGTGATTCATTACCAAAGATAGTTCTGATGTAACATTAACTTATAATAGACTTCTACCTCACAGCCTGAGTTCCTGGATGGCTACAGTCAGATAGACTATGCAAATGAATGTGATCTGATGACACTCCTCATAACTGGCATCAGTGATTTGACCTGTGATAGCAAGCCGTGCTCAAAGCTGCTGTGTTTTGGCAACAGCATCACGAGCAGGAAGTGCCATTTCTTACTGGAATGAACAGGTTGTTGCACAGATGGGTTTCGTCTGAGTGTTGCTGCATCTTGGCGTTTCTTTGAGCCTCTGTCATCTGTTGGTTAAACCCTTGTAGAGGACACGTTGACTGTCTCACAAGGGTCTCAGTTTGGCAAACGTGACCTTGTAAGTCCAACATTAAACCAAACTCCAAGCAAGTTGAATGGGGCCCATGAGGAGATTTCCAACCATGGTTGTTGCAGTCTCCTGTACGTAGTTAATCATCGACTTGAAGGGAGTTCTCACAAGATCCACGTTGCTGTGGACAAACGTAATGCGTCCTCCTTGGCCCTCTCTTAACTCAGGGAATTTGCTTGCTTTGCCTACTCTGTGGCAACACACCTGCTGGATCATGTAATTTTTTAAGTGGATGTAGTTTGTGCCAGTGCCTCCAACCCTTCTAATCTCTCAGAAGGATTTTCCATTTGCTTGGCAGTGGGTTCTCACCTCAGTCAGACATGGATTGCTCCTTTGAGACTGTTTGTTGTCAAACCTCAAAGTTTCATATATATTTTAAACGGTTGGAGCTCCACCAGTGGTGCCAAATATAAGCTTTACAATTTGTTTGATCAATTATTCATAAAGAGGTTGTATCATCAGGGATCCGATTCCCGACTGTAAGATACAGTGGCAGTAGACATCTCTCAAAGGCCACAGCACATCCTGGCTAGAGTCAGGTTTAAAAATATAGAGCTTTCGTTTCTTAGGTCGAGTTGAATGTTGTAGTCTGGAATGATTCACCATCAAGGTATAATGTTGCAGACGACTAAAGAGACATAAACATGACATCGGTCTTCTTTTCTTCTTTGGAGCCTCTCCAGAGGTTCACTTTCTATTCTTGGTTTAACAACGTTTTTCTCCTTTTATAAATATGGACACACTGAGTTGGTAGACAAGGCAGCAGGATGAAACATGAACTGTGGTATACTCCTGCCAGTGAATGCAGAGTTACCCCACTGGCTTGCAGTAATTCTTGGTCCCAGCCAAAGCTGTGGTCCCCGCTCAGCTGTCCTGGGATTGACAGTGTCCTTGTCGTTTAACTGTCTAAGACGAATTTTGCATGTTATGTGGAGCATATTGCTCACTCATGGATGCAACGTAAGCCTCCAGAACATGAGATAAACCTGTTTTTATTCAGTTACGTGTGAAATGAAGCAATCATAGACTAGCCCATTGCTAATTGCCACCGCAAAACAAATGGATGTTAAAATACACCTCAATCAGTTACCGTACTTAAGCAGGACAATGTAGGTTAATGTTAGAGATGGGGATTTCCTGTAAAGGGCCTTTTAAATTTTGTAACATCCTTTTCAAGGTCATAAATTATTGAGTACATGTAGTATTTCACTCAAACGTCTCTAATGTGATGGCTGCAACTGTTTATCTTTGGCGAGGCTGGTTCTCTCTTGGTTTGTCTTTGCAAGAGTCAGTTTTGCAAATAATTGAGGGAGGGAGGCGACAACAAGGCTTCTTCATAAATTCTTCTTCTGAATGAGAATTCAGCTTCTAGCTCACCACAAAACTACGTAACATTCTCTCTGTCAGCGTCTCGGTAAAGCTGCTTGTTGAGACACAAATTCTTCAGTATAATGTTAAATTACAGCATTTTGCATCCACGCAACTCGTCGAGTTTAACACATTTCAAACTCTCATAACTGGCAAGACTGCAGCACTTCCCCCACAACCTAGATACACAGGTTTTACACCAAAGAAAGAAAGTGTTAGCCCATTATCCATTTCCCCTATTCTTGTTTAATGTAAGCAACACACTGTAGCGTCCATGCTCACTCTCAGCTCACTGACTGCTAACGGCTCTTGTGATGAATCTTTGGGACTAGAGGTAACTTAAATCTGGCAACACATTATTCCAGGATTTATATGTACACATTCAGAGTGCAGCTTGACTTTAGTCAGAGCTGAGCCACTTGGCATGAGACGCGATGCAGCAAAAGGTATATCTGCAGCATTGGCCAGAGTCGGTACAGCGGAGGAGCTGCTTCGTTCCACAGGAGCCGCAGAGCCCACGCAGCCATACTCGTGCTGTTGTCATAGTAGCACATTACATTCTATTACTGCTCTCAATTACTCTCATTATAGAGGAGCATTACTCTCTCACACATCTTTTAATTTGGATTTGAGAAAGCGCTGAATGGTGTCATGTGCCACGGCTTGATTTTTAACTTCGTCAGCCAAAGTCTCCACACAAACTTAACGAGTTTGTCAGAAATGTCTCAAGTTTTTTTCGAGGAGCTTGTTCTAAAAGTCACACAAACTTCTGACGTGCGCCCCCCCACACATACACACACACACACACACACACACACAAACACACACTTGGTGCAGAAACCCATTGTCATACTGTCCACTCTGTGTGTACTCCTTTGTTTAACTGTATGCAAAGCTGAATAACTGGTTCAACTGTAACTGGCAGCGGTGAGGCTGCAGATGCTCAAACTTAGAATTTCCCTTTAATTTGGGTTAGAGGTGTGAAGTGTGCAAACTGTTTGGATTGTATCATGATTTCAGAATACGATGACTAGATAATCCCAGTTGGCTGTAAGTGGAAACCATTGCAGTCAGATTTGGTTTTCACAGAAGTCTTTTGACCTCAGCGAACACAATAACTGTCTTTTTCTGCACAGACACAGACGAATCGCCTGTACAACAAAAAAACTCGTGATTTCAACACACTATCTTGTTGTTCCTGATTTTTTTCTGCACCTGCTCCGAGGCTGTAGATATTTCTGTTTTAGCTCAAGTCAAATGGAAAAATACTGTTTGGGAAAAACTGTTTCCACAAAACTTTGTTGTGGATCTGGACGAAGGGACAAATGTTTTTTAATCAGATTTTTATAGTAATAGTCTTTATTTATAGAGCACTTCTCAAAACATAGCTCCAAAGTGCTTCACAAATAACACCTCTCTTAAAATTAACATTGATAAAAACTAGAACTAGGCACAATAGCGTATTTTAAGCTTTGATTTAAAGGAACTTACTGACTCTGCCTGTTGTATTTCCCAGGAAATACTGAAGAATCTGTGAGAGGATGTAACTCTGGTTTCATAGGAAGGCAGGCTCTCTCAGCCGTTGTACGGAAACAAACATGGCTGCAAACCTCTAACTGCTGCCAATGTGTAGCAGACAGTTGGGAATTATCCGTCTTTTTGTTTATCTTCAATTATTTTAGAAACGAACTTGACGGAGGAATTGAAGAGAACCGTTCTGTTTTCCTTTTCTTTGATCAGAAAGCTTTCAGGTTCACATTGTTTTGATAAGTTACTCATACGTGGTTTTATGATGCATTCCAGTCACAGAAGAGCTGGTGTGAGATTAAACAAGTTGTGTTTAGTTAATGATTAGATAACTGGCCTCTCAGGAGATAACCTATCAGCTGGATGCTGTTGGTCTGTTTAAACCTGCAGTAATCTGCGCGATAAGGCCCAGTCATACATACTATTCACATTTTAACATAGATAAGAGCTTTGCGCTATTTGTCTGCCGTTGTTTGCTATAGGCGAAAGTTGCCATGATTTACAGATTAGAGAAAATAAATCTCATATTTTACAAATTTCAATCAACGGCTCACGTTAAAGGAATAGACAGGTGTTGTTTTTTTATTTTGTTTAATGGTAAATTACTAATCTGTTTGGCTTTAGAGACAGAGCTTCATCTACTGTTCAAGTTTTAAACAAACTTACAACTGATTTAGATATTTTGTGAATTCTGATTCCTGAAGAATCATCATATCCTGATGAGCCCCCCCCCCCCCACCATTTAAAATGTGCTGTTCAAATGCAAAGATTGTAAACAAAGATGGATGACATGGCTTCACTTCCTGCCACTATCGAGAAATGAAGCCAAAATATCTGATGGGAACGCTGCCATCTTGACCTCATTAGTCCGTAGCGATGGGACGATATGTCAGCGCCCTGACGTTGTTCGCACTCGACTAATCTGGAGATGGGATTTATTATTCTTTATATTTAGTCTGGTTCAAACAAACATTTTATGATTGTGGACAAACGATATGTTTTCAGAACTTAGCAAGTTCGAGCCTGCTGTTGATTTCACAATTATAATGATCCCTTATGTCGTTCCTTGTTTGTTGTGCAGGTGGAGAGGTGTTGAGGTTCTCACTCAACAGGACGGCTGACATCATGGTGAACATCCCAGATTACTTTGCAGGGAAAAATGTGCTGATCACTGGAGCAACTGGCTTCATTGGCAAGGTACAGTAGTGGAGGAATGGACCGGTTTCTTTTCACTTTGTGACAGAATGACGCTGCTTTAATAATTTAAGTTGTGATTACATTCATGTCGAACAGGAAGAATAAAAGTTAACTTGGACAAACTTTTTTTTTGTGTACTTTAGTACAATCGTTCACTTTGACTCATGGATGAACTGATAAGAATCTGGTGGTCAAGGTCACATTGTGACGCAAAATCTGTAGAACGTGTTGAGAGAATCATTTCACTCGGACTCACACATAAACTCAGATGATTTTGATGGTCAAAGTTCTTTGGCCTCTTTAAAATTATAGCTGCAGCTGTAAGAATCGTAAAAACGAAGATATCTAACTATGGTGTCCAGCCTCTAGCGAGTCACGTTTTGTGTTTGCGCCACGCGGTGAAATCTATCGCGAGTCACGTTTTGTTTACGCGAGCCACTGAAACGTTAGTTGAGAAGAAAAAACGGACTTAACGGCCTTATTTCCACCGACGCTGGTCGAAAACTCCTCCATCTGAGGAGTTCACAGCGAGAGGAGAAATCATTGTTTACTTTCGGTTTCTGACCAGACACACACCTCCACACCTCCACACCTCTCTCTCTCTCTTCCCATTAACCATTATAAATGTAGCCGAGAGTTTAATTCGCCTGCACTGAAAGGTAATAGTAAAATAAGGACATGAGGAATGAGGCTTGAACCAGAACACGTTTAGTTTTTCACAACTTGTCAACACCTCGCTACCAAGACTTCTGTTGGTGACCCTTCACAATAAAAGTCCCACACAGCTACACTGCTTATGATGACAGGAAACACAAATTCACTGACCAACCTTCCACAATAAGGCAACTAAATAGCCAAACGTTACACTTTAAAAACTAACCGGATGTTGTTGATGAATATTGTAATTAATTAGCGATATATTCGCTATATTTTGTTTGTTGTGTGTCTTTTTACTTCTATAGTATCAATAATCGTGAAAATCATGAAACCGTGATATTTCTTCTGATCGTGGCGCCAAAATTTCATATCGCGTGGTGAGATTTACTGGAATCAACCAAACAGTCCTGGAAGGGAAAATCTGATTTTATAATCCTGAGCCACATCTTTCTTCATGGTTGTTCCAGGTGCTGCTGGAGAAGCTGCTGAGGTCATGCCCAGAGGTCAAAACTGTGTTTGTGATGGTCAGGTCAAAAGCTGGCCAGTGTCCCAAGGACCGCATCGCTGACATGATCAACTGCAAGGTGAGTGGATTAGGGTGGGGGTCATCTGAGAATGAAAACAATGAAATTTAAAATGCAAAAGCTGAAGCGAAAATGCTCAAACTAAAAGCTGAGTCGAAAGCTTCTGGATAAAAGATGGAAGACTACAGAAGTGGGATCTGTGGCAGGACGAGTAGATGGAGAGTTCTGCCCTCCGCCATAAATCATTCTTTTTATCCAGTGTTGTAAAAGTCTAATGATTTATATCTGGACTTTTACAGTTGACTATGTGCTGTAACGTCTTCATGCGTCCACTCAGTTGTTTGAAAGGTTACAAGACGAGCAGCCGGACTTTGCAGTGAAGATCGTTGCGGTGAACAGTGACCTCACGCTGCCGGAGCTGGATCTGAGTAAAGAGGATCAGAGCATCCTGGCTGAAAACGTCAACGTCGTCTTCCACTGTGCCGCCACCATCCGCTTTAATGAGCCGCTCAAGTGAGTCATTAGGAACGTGCACCTTCTACTCCTGCCTTTATATCGCCACAACTTTGTAAATCAACTTTGCTAAATAGTGTTTTGTTGTTTGTTCAGCTAGTCAGTCTCTGTTCTGTGTTTTATTATGAGTTTTCTTGAATTGGCAGTGAAACCTGGCGTAAACAGAGTACTTGCAGTGCACAGGGATATTTGAAGATCAAAAAAACAATGACTGTTTTTCAAGTAAAGGTTATTACGGAATCTCAACCTGATTCTGATTGTTTGCCAACGAGCTCCATAAGCTTTGAAAGCACATCAGTGATCCTCTGCGTGACAGGTTTCATCATGACTTAATATAAGGGCGTAGCTGTTTATATATAAACAGCTTATGAATTAAGCTTGTTATGCTGCGTATCATAATCGTTTGTCTTTGGCCTGAAGTCATTTGAAGAATTGTAAGGTGTGAGACAAAGATTGTTCGGTAAAGGGGAATAAGTTTATATATTGGACTCACAAAAAGAAATGATCGGGATGTGATGGACAAGAACACGACGTTCAGAGTGAGGAGTAGGAATGAAACAATTTCTATTTTCCAAGTGGGAGAAACATCAAACTCATTTTAATGACGCTGCTGTTTTTCGATAAAAAGAAAAGTTGCGTTTTGTTGCTTGACAATTTGTGTCTGGTCTGAAAACAAGGAGCTGAAACCAGGTTTGTTTAGATGCATTTAACTGAATTAGTGAAATATATGAATTCATTTCTCTTTTAGAGATGCGATGCAGCTGAACGTCCTGGCCACACAGAAGATGCTGGCACTGGCCCACAGGATGAAGCAGCTGGAGGTCTTCCTCCACATCTCCACAGCGTACGCCAACTGTGACCAAGAACTCATCGAAGAAGTCGTCTACTCTCCACCCGTCGACTACCGGAGACTCATCGATACTCTGGAGTAAGTTGACGTGCAAGGATTCCGACGAACCAACACACTGTGGCGTTGACGGTTACTTTTGCATGGCCTGGTTCATGGATGCAGATCAGGATACAGTAGCATGAGATGAGGTTTTTAAGTGTTTCTTCTGATTGCTCGATGCATAAGAAGCAAGTAGGAAGGTAGATTACACGAAGATTAAATGGCTGCTTGATGGCTGCTCTCAGCTGCTGAGCTCCATTATTAAAGCCCACGTCTGCAGACTCAGAAGAGATTAGTGAAGTGATTCTGAGGGATTGTATGAATGTAGAGACGTATACAGTGCACAGATAAAGATACCGAGCTGCTTTAGGTTTGAATCTGTGTTGTAGGATCTTTTGCCTTGTTATTAGTGCAGCGTCTGTTCTCAACGCAACGCAATCAACGCATGGAAGCTGGAGAGTGTAGAAATCAGCAGACGTGATCAGATCTCAGGACGGATTTGCGCTGTAAGAGAATAAATGTTTTTTTTGTTCCCAGCTGGATGGACGATGAACTGGTTTCCGCGCTGACTCCCAAGCTGATTGGAGAACGTCCCAACACTTACACCTACACCAAAGCCTTGGCTGAGTATCTGGTGCAGCAGGAGGCCGGAGACATAAACGTAGCCATTGTCAGACCCTCCATAGTCGGAGCCAGCTGGAAAGAACCTTTTCCAGTGAGTCATTTAATAGATAACTGGTTTTATCTTCTCTGTTGTAAACATTAATTCATGAAGACACTAAATTGCTCACTCTGTCCCACATTAACAGTAGCTGCTGTTTATAAAAATGTCTCCTGAGGTTCTTGGGCTTTCCCTTATTTTAAAATGTGTCGGGCTCCTCAGTTGCACAACATGAATGTTTAATGCACTGAGAAAGTGGCTGCCCTCAAATGTAGGTTAAGAAGCCGGTTGTCACAGTGAGAATGTAAAATGAAGAAAGTCATTGTGTTAGAGATCAAAACAGAGAACAGACAGAAAACTGGAACAGCAACAAATGACACTCTTAAGCCGTTTTCAGACATGACCTAAAAGATAAAGTCTGGAGAATTAAGTCTGGACTTTATCCACGGTTTACCTTTCACACATGCAGAGGGAGGTTTTCCTCATCAAGATCCACAAATTAGGGAATGAAAGCTACTGATTTTTAGTGGAGAACGTTCCTCTGTTCTTCTCTGGGAGCACAACGCCTCCGTGCTGCCAACACTCAGTCGTTCAGCGCTGCTGAGCACTGGACAAGGCGACGATGTGATGCCGGGAGTGGGAATGTGGGGAATGTGGAGTAAAGAAGTGCCTGTGTACTCGGCCAGTCGCTGTGGAAAACAGGAGGATTGTAGGATTTCTGGTTTCGGAAAGACTGAAACATTAGGTGACAAAGACGCCTCCTGTGTGAACATGAGGGAGCGACATTTCACAGTCGTCCGAGTCACAATCACTCCTCGGCAGCGCTACAGTGAACGTGTGCCTTTGGGATTTCATCTCTTGTGCTGATTCAAGACTGAAATGCATTTAAATTCATCTGTATTTTCAAAAAATCATTGAATGTATCATCCTACAAACTGCAGAAAATCAAGAAGAGCTTCACAACTAACAGATTTATCACCTGAATATTTTATCTTCGATATAAATGTTGATAGATTTAGTCATTTATCAAGTCAATGTCATAATTTCAGTTCCAATTGTTGCTGATTTTTCTTGTTTCAGGGTTGGATTGATAACTTCAATGGACCCAGTGGAATATTCATCGCTGTGAGTATTGAGAGAAAAGCTTGTTCTTACTAAATGATACAAGTGTTAGGATGTAAGGATGTTCTGTGTGAAGATGGGTTGCAAATAAGTGAGTCTGATTTTATTGTGGATCCAGCCTCAGTCGTCTTCTCCTCTACAGGCTGGTAAAGGGATCCTGCGTACGATGAGGGCGTCTAACGATGCTGTGGCCGATCTGGTGCCGGTGGACGTGGTCATCAACGCCACGCTGGCTGCAGCTTGGTTCTCCGGATCACAAAGGTGCAACAGGTCCGCAGGGCTTGTGTACATTCGAACTCGTTCTTTTGTTCTTTGACATTTCAGAAGATCAGATAATCTTTTTTTTCTTGCAGGCCTAAAAACATCATGGTGTACAACTGCACAACTGGTGGGATCAACCCGTTTCACTGGGGGGAAGTCGGTAAGACGTCATGTTTATCTTCCCTAAACAAAGTCTCTGTAAAAAAAGCCCCTCGAGAGTGGAAACGGTGTCCGATGACATAACCTGAACGTCATGTGATCCCCCGCCTGCCACACCCAGACCAGGAGCTTTTGTTTACCTGTGGCTCCTTGTGTCGAGCTGGAGGCTCACAGCTTTTTCTTAGAGTCAATCCCACTGTTAAATAGACGTCACGCTGTCTGGAGGTGATTTCCCTGTAAAGATTTTCAGATCACTCAGGTTATTGTCTCTTCAGGAGTCGTATACGTGCACTTAAGCAACTGGACTTGCTTTGCTTTCTTGCTTTTGCTTGAAACGTCCTCGAGAAAAGAGCAAGTCCAGTTCTCCTGAAGAGTTCCGTCAGATATTTAATCAGACAGTCGATGACGATTAGATCTCTTCCTCTGCAATGATTTGTGTTTTGCAGACTTAACCGTGTCCTAAGTCAAATCTCTGAGTACTGGTGAAGACGTGAATCATCATGTTACAACCTGTACATCAGGCATTAAAAAGATGAGTCACAGAAGTGTTTTCAAGTGGAAGAAAACCAGCCTGAGGTTCCTTTTTATTTTTTATGTTCTGTCAGTTAGATTTCAAGTTGCACTACGATGCATGTGCAGGTGTGGTTTACAACTCCAGAGGTGGACGAAATAAGAGAAACACAGATCCAGTGTAATGCAGACAGACCCGTCCGTAAATAGTTTTGGGATTAAAGTTCATTCTCTGTCTTGTAAACTGTCATCAACAGTAAACTGCTTGAAAGCTCCACAACAGCTATTAAGGGAGCTTGTCTGTGAGATTGTTTTGCAAGATAATTTCTGCCTTTGAGGCTCATGTAACTTCAAACTCACATGTTGCTGGAGCCTGGCCGGTGATTTATATTTGGTTATATAAAAAAAATAATCGGCAATTATTCCCAAGATCGTTATCAAACCATCACGACAAAGAAATGTAACTGATGCCTGATAATTTACAGTTCAACCACTTAAATTACTATAAATACAAAGACCACACAAATACAACCAAATACATTTTAAGATTATTTTTACATTAAACATCTTTTCATATCTGTGCAAGTAAACTCCTGATTTGTCTGTGAAAGACTCATATAGACTCATGTAACCATTAAGTCATTTTAAAATGCAGTTTTATGGTCGTGTTTACATTGGATGCCA